GAACTCTCCAATGGATCCCCCATGTCAGCCAAGGCCATTGAGAAGGCCATGGGACGGATCCAATGGGCCACGGCGTGCTGTCCTCTGACCAAGTCCCTACTCCAGCCACTCTGGGCTTGGAAGATGGCGGTCAAAACTATGGGCCACCCACCAAAGGTGGTCCGAATGCTGGCCGCCCTCCTGAAGGAGCTCTTCACGCCCCTTTGAACAGTACTCACCTTTCTTGCCGAAGTCGCCCTGGTGGGGATGCAGTGATGCTAGTGCATCCAAAACAGGTGAAGCCTTTGTTGGGGGTTGGTGCTCGACCTCCCCAAACCCCACCAAGGACCAGGTCCTATGGTTCCACTATGCTATTACGGCTGACGCCCACCCTTGGGCATTCAAGGATGGCAACCCACAGAAACGGATCGCTGCCCTGGAACTCCTGGGCACACTGCTCCTTTGCGAGCACCTGGTGGCCCAACAGGGCCAATTGCCGGGGAGAGTTCGAGAGTTCGCCTCCCGGTGGGCAGTGACAACTCAGGCAACATCTTCAGCCTGCTCAACCTCTCGGCCAAGAAGCCATACTCTGCGGCACTGCTCATGGAATTGGTTCTCTTCCTTCATTGTGAGGGTTGTAGCACCGCTCCCAATCACATCCCCCGGGAATTCAACACCTGGGCGGATGAATTGACTCATCCTGATTTTGAAGGATTCTCCTTAGATCGCCGGCTACCGGCACCGGAGACTCTCTTCGTTTTTCCTTTTGTTTCAAAACTTTTGTCCTCAACCGGCTTTTCCTAGCTCCCCACCCAAGATCCCGTGACCGGATCCGGTGGGCTGTCCTCCCGACCCTGTGCCCTGGCACCTTGACAGGTGCCTGTTGGCCCTGGGAGGCCAGGGGACATTCGGGTGTTGCGGCAGAGACGGCCGAATCCTACTGCCTGACACACCCTTGTCCCCCTGGCGAAGTCCAGGGCAGTTTGAAATGGATCAAACGATACAGGGTCTGGGGGGAGGACCCCAGCATCAACCAAAGCTCATGGAAAAAGCATGCCTGCAGCTTTTTGCGCTCTTGGGATCTTTTTGACTTCTGGGTACATATATATATATATACTACTACTGGAAACCAGTCATGGGGTCGATCTGCTGGATCTGCCGAATCTGATGGGTTTCTCTTGAAGAAAGCGCAAGTCCCATGCTTCATGTTCACTGCTTTCGCAAATGAACATACCCCATGCCAGTCTCTTCAGGTGTCTCTTAAGATTTTCTCGGGCTGGTTGCTACGAAGGGGGGGCTTGACCTGGGTCCATCATATTTCGAAGTGGACACATCAGTTTGTATGTGTCATGCCGTGCCATACTCTCCAGTTCACTATCTTTGGGGTATGTCTGCTTGGTCTCCAAAATCCTGTTTTCAGGCCCAATCAAACGAACCATGCCACTTTTGTGGCCTGGAGATCTGCCGGTCTGGGAAGCTTTTCACATCTTGGGCGTGGGGCTTTCCACACAGCTCAGACGAGTTCGGGAGATCAGATGAACGCGGAGGTGCCAGTGGACTTGACGAAAATCCCCGATGACCATGAATACCTTCGTGGCTGGGCGTGCGGCGTGTGGCGTGGGTTGGACACAGGTGTCGGTGTTTTTCTTCGGGTTTCAATCGGTGCAGAAGTTGAAAGGAGAAGCATGAAGAAAGAAACTGAAATCATGCAAATTCAGATCTGGGGCTCCTGGATTTGATCTGGATTTGGGGTCGAGATGACCACTGAGACGACCACTGACTCGATAGAACTGTTGCCAGGAGTGAACATGACCATCCGGAGCTGCATCCCAAGCCGTTCCAAAACTTGCACGTGCCATCTTTCTGGATGAAAGAGACCGTTTTTGAACATTCACCGAAAGAGGCTGCCAAAAGAACACCCAACGCAGACCGCAGATCTCCACAAAACCCATGGCTTCGACTGGGTGGTCCATTGGGTTCTTTAAGGACCCATTTTTCGATGCAGAACATCCACCGACGACGAGGTGGGCCGTGAAAACATCACTAGTCACTAGCACCACCCCACACCGATCCACCGACCCAGCACAATCCAATCCTGGATCTGGAGGTTCCGGGTACGCATTGAGGTATTGTAAGAAGAGCCCACAAACCAAACAGGTTGGGACCACCGCGGATCACCGCGGATCACCGGTTTTTGCCCGGTGTCCTGGGAAGAACCTTCAGATCGTTGGGAACGAGCAACCGTTGCCCGACGTTGGACGTAAGGAGATCCATCGGACCGACCAGTGATGGAGAAGAACAATGATCAGTGATATCATGTGATATCAGTGGAAGATGCCTTTTCGTCAGGTTCGATTTTTACTCCTTTTTCATTCCACTTGGCGGCGTGGATTTGCGATGGCCCGCGCATCGCAGAGTCGCAGAGGTGGCTTTTCCGGCGAAGTATGGACTCTAGACTCTAGACATCCTGCGGAGACATCCTAACCCCCCAAAACGGACTATCGCCCGAATCGCCCGTTTCGTCCTCCGTCGCCCCGCTCCCACCACCGACTCGCTGGAATTGGTCGCCCCGAGGCCTTCAGCCGGAGGCGCGGCACTGGAACCTCATTCCGCAGGCGGGGCTGTGCCGGACACCGGACACGTCCGGGCCACGCGGCCACCCGTCCGGTGGAACAGCGGCACACTCGGAGGTGCCCCCGGAGTGCGCTTCACGCTCCGCTGCGCGAGTGGCAGCAAAAACTGGTATTTGTCCATCAGGTCAATGCGGGAGGCAGTAATGCCCAAGCAGCAAAGCTGCGGGAGAGTGGTAGAGAACCCTGACAAGCGTATCCCACTTGCATTTCGGTGCGGACCATCTCTTTTCTGCGGTTTTTGTTCTATTCTCTGGTAAACCATTTGACATGCCTGTATAGTCTGTTTTGACGCGGGTTTGGACCGGTACACCATCTCACTTGTTGCTGGTAGCTCGCAATGAGAGTCATCGCGCACATCTCGCGCCACCAATCGCAGAATCAAGAACACCCTCCTGGCTGGTGGAAGGGCCTCAAAAACAGGGGGCGGTGAGAAGAACGACCTGAGATCCAATAAAACGTTCTCTCCACAGCCTGCTCTCTCCACAGCCTGGATCATCTCCACCCCTTTTGTGTCGTGTCGTGTAGCGTGTGGTCACCGCTCTGTCGCCTTGTCACAGGCGTTGAAATGCGATTTCCTGGAGCCCTTCGTGCACGCCTTGGCTTGGGCATCGGCCCGGCGCATCGAGAGCGCGACCAGCAGCCATTTGGCGCCTCGGACGCGCGCCGTTCCGCGGCCGGGCACGGCCGGGTGCGGGGTGCGGGTTGAGAACGGAACATGAAGAGAAAAGAAGGTCCGGATTCAAGGAGGCCAAATAGGAGGGTTATCGCCTTGAGGGAACCTGCCAGGAAGCATAAATGCACAAACGTATTGTATGAAAGAGGTTTCACCGTGCATGTCTGCCGGGATGATTCTTCATCATCAGGATTCATCAGGTGCTCGAAATACCCCGCGAAAAGCACGCAACTGCACGGTCCGCACGGCCAAGCACGGTCCGCTGCAGGTTTTGATCCTCGACTCCAGTGGCTACAGCTGTCACCTCGGCGGCCACACGTGGCCCGGTGAATGCGTTCCGGCGTCCGCGGCGATCGGCGCGGGAGAGCGGAGGTGGATAGCTACAGACAGTCTCGATCTGTTCATTGGACCCGTGGTCAAGCAGGATTTCGCCATGACCCACGTCCATGTTTCGATTGGTTTTCGGGGGTGGCACCGACTCGTGCTCCGTCAACACTGCCTTTTTGGGGTCTTCCTGTTCTGTCTCTCTTAGTGGGGTGGAGGAAAAACCAGAAACCTTCTAAATCATAGGGCTGCCCTATGATTTGTGATCAGTAAACAAGATTAAACAAGAACATCACCATTTGCCCCATCCACGGTGTCGTTCGGCCCTGGGTCTCTAGCATAGACCGACCTGAACGACCGGCACGGACCGACCCGAAGGGCGCAGCGCCGGACCCGCCTTTTCCACCACCCAGAGGACCCAGACGACCGCACCCCAGTTGGAACACGGCGGAACATGGGAATCAGGAAGGTTCTTGATCCTTCAGTTCACACCCCGTGGATCCAGGCAAACCACTAGAGCTACATACTACATAGCTGGTTCGTCTGTGCTTCGACAGACGAACCCCCCTTCGCTGAACCGGGGACCGGGGCCAGGTCGGTCACCGGAGTGCCGTTCACGGTCAGGGCTCTGAGTTTCGGTCCAGGAAAGCAGGAACTGAAGAGGCACAGGCCTACCAGAGGCTGTTTATATATATTATATAACATGATATAACTATAATATATATATATATATATATATATAACGTATATAATGATATATTATATACACATGGTTTTACCATTTGTTCGACCTGGAGGCTTCACTGAACACTTTTTCCAGGTCTTTTGCCTGAAGAAGCCTTGAGGCTCTCCTTCCGGATCTCAGTGCCCGAGTTCTGCGTCTCCAGACAAACGGCACTGAACGTGGCCAAGGACGCGGTGCCCTCGTCCCCGGATCGTTCGAGAATGGTGGAGGACGCGGTGCCATCCCAAAGCTTCCGTGACTGTGGTCTCTACCCCAGCGGGTATATAGTCATACTCCACCACTAATACCAGTTGGGGTATTTGATGAGTCCTGCATAGGAAAATCACGGGGTCATCTGACTCATGACGTCAATGGTCCACCGATCACAGCGAAGCTCGACTCATGTCCTGGCCCGTGAGGTTTCAGGAGTGCAGGAGTGGTTGGGACCGAAGCATTTGGGGGTGGTGCTGGACCTCGGTCTCTAGCTTTCCCGAAGCACACCATCACCATTTGCGCGATCTCGCTGGGTGTGTATGTCCATTGAGGGGTCTCCCGTCTGGCTCTTGGTTGTGGGTAGATCGCGTCGACTTGTTCTTCCCGAAGCTTCCGGACCACGTTGAAGTAGGGAGCTCCGTTCACTACCATATAGGAGATCATTGACCCAGTATGAATACATCAAGACACACCAGGCGCCTGCTCCGACCGTGTTCCGACGGAAGGACGGTCTGTCTGCGCAGATGGGAACTGTACCAGGACCCAAACCGAGATCGCCCGGTGCTTTTTGGACACCCCGAAGCACCTCTTTACGAGGCTATTTATATTTAGACACGTCGCTGGTATAGAGGTTTGAATGCACAGAATCGTATCCTATGGAGACCTCATCCACTCCATCCATAGGAACGTGACTGCGTTTCAAGATTCTTCTCACATCAACAGCAAGAAGTCCCTTACCATTGTGACATTGTGGTTTCGGATAGCAACCACCCAATAGACTACCAGAAGTAAGATCATCCAGCAAGGAATCTCCGCACTTTCCCCGTGTCTTTCTATCCGAAACGATCCATCACTCGGTCGGCCGTTGCGGCCCAACGAGCACGTCCTCCCTCTGCGCACCTCTGCGCCGTCTGGACACCGCCGTACAGTTCCGTCTCAGGTGCAGTTCCTCCGACGGAGGCGACTGGCGTCCGAGCCCTGGGTGAACTTGGAGAACGTGGAGTCCATCGTGCGTCAGGAGCCGCCGAGCCGCGGAGCCCGGGGACCGTGGCCATCGGCGGGAGCCATCGGCGGCGTTTGGCTTCCTTTCGGTGGTGCGATTCGAGGATTGGTCTCCATTTCGGTGCCGCTGAGCAGCGTTTTTTTGGGGTGTTTGCAGGTGTTTGCAAGGCGAAGTGGCTTCTGTCCTGGAAATTGGTGGCTTTCTGTTGGAGTTGAATTGACCCCACGGCCCTCCAGAAAGCAAGTGTTCCAATAGAAATCGCTTCTCGAACTACGACGTTGCGGTTCCCCAGGTCGCCTGGGGACGTCTTGGTGCATTCCCACCGCCGGATCAATGTGCTTTTCATTTCGTGAGGTGAGCGATCTGTTTCAAGAACTGGGAAGGTTTCACCTTGCCCAAGGAGCGACGCCAGACAAACTGAAAGACACGTGAAGAAGTGAATCGATGACGTGACAAACGAATCCACTAAAAGGAACGGCTGTAAAGGAGTTGGAAAATCAAAACGAGCTAAACTTCGATCACATTCGAACGCCAACCGCAACACCACACTACACAGAAAACTGCATCCGAATCCATGAAGCCAAAACTTGCAGGACACTGAAAAATGAAACCGCAACACCCGTCTCGTTTCTGCTCACTAATATGAAACCGACGCAACCAACTTTCGAACGCGCCCCACCCACCCCCCCTCCCCCCCTTGGTTCTCTTGCTCACACCAACGCAACCAACTTTCGATCAGCTACGGCCCCACCCCCCTGACACCAACGCAACCAACTTTCGAACGTAGATAACAACGTACCCCTAGATTCAAATGTTCTGTGTATCGCTCTCCCCAGTCTCTCTGCGGGTAAACCACAAAAACACTGCAAATTCAAAAGCTAGCAAAAATGATGCAACACGCTGTAAAACACCTAGGCGACCTGGGGAACCTCTTGCAACTACGAGCATGTTCATGATCATTGCTGCTCGTTCCATGTTTCCAGGAGGCTTTTGGCGAGGAGAGGCGGTGCTTTCTGTGCAATGCGTGGGAGCAGGGGAGCGATGTCGCCCAAGTGGAGGGGAGGAGGGGATATTTTGGGGTAGGAGCACCCTCTAACAGGTGTTTCCGGGTGACAACAGGTGTCCAGAAACCACCTGTTAGGCTCTCCAAACAGCCCGTTGGAGGGTCCTGGCATATTTTGTTCCATGTTGTCTATTTATAACGCTCACTCAGAGGAGTCCCCAGTTTTGATGAACTCCTCCACCCTCCAAAATGGAGAGCATTGTTGGTGCTTGTGCGGGTGTGGCATAGGACAGTTCGGTTAAGCTCTATTTGGAGATGGGCTGCAGGACATGTGGCACCCGCTGGTGTATTGCTGCTGGTCGGGGCGTTACATGCAAGAGGCGAGGCTCTTGGAGCCCTTCGCCTTGCACCTCGGCATGCCAAAAGCGGGAAGAAGAATGCGAACAGAGGTTGGGCTCCAAAAAGAGGATGTGTTTCGTCTTACGGAGAGCTTGGTCTTTCTGACGATGTGGCTTGTGTTTGTATGTGTTTTAGTGGTCTTCTTTTAAGGCTTCAGAGTGGACTACACGTGGTCACCACCAACGACCAAGCCATTTCCTGCACCCCCGGCCGGCCGGACCGAGGCTTCATGTGGTGCTGGATGGGGACCGCTTCGAATACGAGCCCCTGGAGACTCGGTGCCACCAGGGCAGTCTGGGCGTACCCGGAGGCGAAGAGAGAGCCTGGTTGTGAGGATCATTTGACCCTATCTATGAGGGTCCAACCATGACCGTTGGGCGCACCCCCACAAATTGAAGTTTTCAGAGAAGCCTCCAGGTCGAACAAATGGTAAAACCATGTAAAACCAATGTGCATATGGTTCTTCAGTTCGTGACCGTACTGTACGGTACGAGGTCACAAAAACAGGCGCGAGATCAAGTTCGGTCACATGGTTCAGAACCAGATTGGAAGTCGTTGATTGAAACATTGCTATCGTTGCCATTGACCGAAGTCTTTCAGGTTCTGTTTTCGGTCAAGTCCTTTCAAGGGTGAACTCCCTCGCCATGAGGGATATGACGTGCATCTCGCAGAATAGTGTAGTGCCTCTCATGGCTTACGTCCAACCACCATGATTTGGGAGCTCATCCCCAAACCCAAACACTGGCTCGTTTGTTCCCCCAAAACCAGGCTTCAGAACTGACATGTTTGTGAAAAGGTGAGCATAACTTCCCCAAGCATGGCTCGTCCAACATCTTGGTAGGTGCTCTGAAGAGCAAACGGCTTGACACAAGACCACAACACTTCGGAGTCAACATAAGGTGTGTCAACACACGGTGTGTCCCAGAAAACCTGGGATTTTTGTCAAAGGGTCTGCAACCTCACCATCATCATCCGCTGGGCCCTGGTCTGAGGGCGGTACATGAATGCTGACCAATTGTCTGGGATTGACAACACTTCACTAAGACGACAAGCGGAAAAAACCACTGTTACTGATATACCCAAACCAGGACCTGAGCCGTTCGTGACCGAACTTGAAATCCCAGATTTTCGGTAAACAAGAAGGCCTGTAAACCAGGGTCACAAACAGAGACTCCAGTTCGGGGTCACGGATGGCTCAGGTCCTGAAACCTTCCTTGAGCTCGGTGCTGGTCGGTCCCTCTCGGTACACCTCAGGAAGAGCTCACCAGAAGCCTCAAGCGGGAGGCCGCGCGAACCGAAGCGGACGAGTCGACGAGCGGACGTGTCGAACCGAAGCGAGTCGACTGGTGGGAACATGTGGGGAACACCCTGAAGAGGGTCCCCCGCCACGTGAAAAGGCCATGAAGAATTGGGCTCCGGACGCGTTCTTCGCGTTTCGACCGTGTCCGTCACATGGTTCCAGACCTTTTGGGGTCAAAAAGCATTCGAAGAGAATGGGATGGTTCCAGTCTCGGGTGCTGTTCACATCTGTTCCCCATCTCCGGGTCTCATAGGTTGCCAGAAGGGCGGGTTTCTTATTGGCTGGACCTCTAACCTGTAGGAATCATGGTGCTCCCCCTCGGGACCACCAGGACTCTAAGTAGGTAAGGCTTGGTTTGGTTTGGTGGGGCCACGAAACCAAGCCTTACTAGGACTACTAGTCTTGTAGTCTAGAGGGCGTAGTTAGAGGTCCAGTCTACACTGTCTAAAGGGCGTAGTTAGAGGTCCGGTGATTTATAACTGATTTAAGTGATTTATAAGTGATTTTAGTGTGTAGGAGGTTAAGGCCTTATAGTTGTATCAGCGGTTTTCCAATGGATTCACTGAGATTGGGCGTGAGCCGAAGGACATCGATGCCCAGTGATATGGACAACTCCGCCCTAGATTCCACCACAGAGCTCGTCCTGACTCCATACCTCTCAGCAAAACCATCGACCTGGAAGCCTTTAGAGGGTACTCGATCCAAACACCCTTTTGCACCCATTTGCACCCTCTGTATATGCCTCCCCTCCTTAGTAATCAACTTGACTTGGGGGTCGAAGAAGTCTAAAACTTGAGAACTGGGGCATAAGAAAGCTCCAACATGGCAAGCTCGCGACACTCCACGATTTGTCTCATGTCTTCATGCCACACTTAATGCCACACGAGGGTTACCATTTCTCCAGTGGTGTGAAATGCTTCTGTTCTTTTTTCACACTTGTGCACGTCCTGTGTTTGAGTTGCCTGCCAGCCCCACCCTTCCATCGCTTTTTTAAATCTTTTTAAGTGGACCAACACGTCGTCCGCGGAAGCAGCGCTTGTCTGAAACCCCGCATCTGTTCGACCCCGTTCGACCCTGACCTTCCTCGCCCTTCGTGACCTCCCAACGACCCGTTCGACCTCCGGTCGGCTCGGCGAACCGAACTGAACCGAGCGAACCGACCCGAGGAGTGGATTCGCCTGGGCTCCACGTGGTCCGAGAGTCCGTACGTGCGCCCCGAACGGCAGCGCCTCTCCGAAGTCTGACGCGAAGAACGATCTCCGGGTCAAGAGAGAGAGAGAGAGCGGAGAGCGGATCGCCCAGCACTGCCACCACCCGGAAGAAGAAGACATGGAGTGAGCTATCAAAGCAAGCAAGTCCAGTATGATTGCTGACGACGTCGCATCAATGATGCGACCCAGTGAATTGGGGTGGCTGACTGTTTGCTTTCAGCGGATGAACTTATAGTAATTAGATGAACTGCTCCTTATTCTTTTGGGGGGGCAGTTCCATGTTGAGCCGGAGATTCCGGAGCGTTCCAGGAGTCGGTGGTGAACGAAGCAGGCCGCGGACTGTGCAGGCAAAGACCTCGGAGTGAAATCTGTGTGCAGAGTCAGAGGAGTTTAAAACCACACACACCACTTAGATTCTGGTTGATGCTTTCAGAGAAATCTTCGGATCGGCACCTGCTTGCCGTTGCAGAAAAGAACCAGGCCAACCTCCTTTGGAGTCGCAAAGCGCGATCTCATGAGTGTGTCTCATGGGTGATAGCACACCCGGCCAACCGGCCGGGCCTCGGTCACCAGCGGTTCGCTCAATTCCGAGCACCGACCGCTGCCGACCTGCTGTGGCACGAAAAACGCAGCTGCAGGGCGGGCGCCCGGGCCGGCGTTTCGACATGGAAAAGGAAGAGGGGGGGAACCCCATGGATTCCGGAGACCGACCCGTTGCTTCGTATGGCGACCCGTTTGGGCAACAAGTAGCCAGTGTATGCCACTTTGTGCTCGCGTAAGAAGACCAGCTTTGCATGCTTTTGTGACAGTCCAATTCGTGTGAGGTAGGTGCCAACCGGAACAAGAATCCGAAAGAACCCAATCATGCAAGCAATTCACCATGCCTCCGCTAGAAAAAGGTGCGATCTATTGGACCATCTGCGATGCAAGCACGCTTTGCACGCTTTCTGGCGTCGTTGTCACGCCTGATCGTGAACCCCAACCTTCACCGCACCGCCGCGGCTGGGCGGACTCGCCGACCGGGGACCGCCGCGTCGTCGTCCGCAGATGGTGTGGGCGGTGCCAGTGGCTACATCTTCGTGGTGGACAATGGGAGCTTCGAGGCGCCGAGTTCCCGGTCGACCGGTGCCGAACCGGAACGTGGTGGAACGGAGTCGGAGCGTGGCGGAACGTGCCGAAGAGGTGTGACGCTGTCAGGATTTTTCTCATGCAGATGTTATATATAGTGTATGGGCTTTGTATGGTTTTGTCGATTTGTTGGGCATTTCTTGGGTGGTTGGGAACTCAATGGTGCATCACTGATAGAGGGGAACACCGAATCATACTCATACCATCACACCATACCTCCTGAGAAGGATGCCTTCGTTGGATGAAGTGATGCGTGGCCACTGCGTCTACTCCCACGCCCTCCATGGGCTACTTCATTCCCCAAGTCACTTTCAGCGGTGCTGAACTCACCCAGGTGCGAATTGATGGGGCGCCTGTGGCCACTCTCGTGCGGATGCCTGGAACGTTTTTGAGCGGAACCGCTGGGTGTGGGGTCAAGGAAGCGTGTGATGAAGCATGAAGCAAGACATAAGGGTCGTGCTGGGGCCTTCGTGGTGGGGCGACGTTTCTGGCACGACTGGGCTTCGAAAGACGAAGCAGCCACAGTCCTTTCAGTTCCTTTCAGCACTTGAGTGGATGGATAGGGTGGACATGGGGATTGACACCTCAAGACACCACCCAGTCGCCTGCATTTGGGGATGACCTTCTGCACTCTGAGGAGGCGACATCACTCACCGCTCGCATCCACCTTTGCTTCAGAGTGAAGAAGCCGCAAATCAGTGTCTTCTCCCCCTGCCAGGGGTCGGTTGGAACAGCTTGCCCGCTTTGCAGTCTAGTATCTCCCCCTCGCCAGGGCCGTGGTTGCACCTTTGGGTGGAACTTCCTGATGAACCAGCCCCAGTGCCTCGGTCGCTCCGCTTTGGGCCGCGAGGGTCATCGGTCGAGGCAGATCACGCGAAGCGGGGATGGCCAGGTTGGGCGGCCAGGCGAAGTGAGCGTCGCGGGTACGCTTCGACGAACACATCACAAAGTGGAGAACCCTCTGTTTGTAAAAGGAAAGTGCACCATATAGTCTTCCAAAAGGGCCATTTTCCACTTCCATGTTAGTGAGTCAGAGTGTAGAAGATTTGCGAATCCTGGGATATGGTTGGTCCTTCTGCCAACTACTTGAGGATGACTATAGAGCTGGCAGACGTACTCCCGGCTAGGCACCTGTACATCACCTGTGAACATCTTCCGTTCGGGGCTTCTTCGAAGCACCGCGCGGCGAAGCGCCGAAGTAGACTTCAGGAAGAGCTTGGTATCCCTGAAGTCTGCCCTGTGAGACTTTTGTTCTTTTGATATTTCTTTATCATAAGTGTAGAGAGCGTGGCGCAAAGTCAATGGCAAGTGAGCGACTCAAACTTCCTGCCGCACCCGTGCGGCAGGTGCTGCTTACCAAGTGGAGGGCGAGGTTTTTCGCTGGTTTTCTTTACAAAAAGGGTCGGTACAACCGTGCTGTCCACCGTCATGAGGGAATGAGATCTGGTGGCCTCCTTACAGATGGATGCTGGATCCGCAAGCGCGCCTAGAATTCGACATGTGGTCTCTCCATCTTTCGCATAGGATCTTCCACTACTCGAAGGTGCTTTGGTCACCAGCACCTTTGGGTCACAAGACGATGGACGTGCTTTGGTCACGCAACAGCCACGGGGTCCTCCGTCTCCGCGCTGCCGTCGCGTGCTCTTCTACGGGCCAATCGCTTGGGCATGCCGCGCCAGGTCGCGAGAATTTCATGCGGCGTGTAAGGGAACACGCCGGACCGTTTTCGTGTACTATTGGCCGCTCGAGCCGACCGAGGTCCTCCTCGGTCTTCGCCTGCTCCAAGTCCAGCCTATGGGGTGCGGACGGCCAAAAGATCCAGCAGATGATCACCGACCGCACGCGGGCGGGGCTCGGATGGGTGGACGTGGACGCGTGCTTGACGCGTGCTTCACGTGTTTTCTTTTTTTTTTGGGCGGGGAAGATTGGGGTGAGGGAGGTGGATGTAGGGGGTGAGGGGCAAGAGAAGGCAACACTTGCTGGGTTTGCCTCTTTTGTGGATATGCTCGGTTACTTGGTGGATGGGTTGAGTCAGTAGCGACTTTTGGCTTTCAGCATTGATATAATAGGCCCCATAGTATACGGAACAAAGTCGGATTCAGAAACTGCACTGTATTCAGAAACTGGTCTTCAGAATTCAGAAACTATTTCGTTGTATTCAGAAACTATTTCGTCGTATTCAGAAACTATTTCGTCGTATTCAGAAACTATTTTCGTCGTATTCAGAAACTATTTTCGTCGTATTCAGAAACTCTTTTCGTCGTATTCAGAAACTCTTTTCGTCGTATTCAGAAACTCTTTTCGTCGTATTCAGAAACTACTGTCCCTCATGCTCAGAAACTTTTATTCCCAAACTAGGGGGCGATGTGAACAACCACCTGCGTGGTCAGTTGATGCGTTCTCTTGCATTCAGGGTGGGGTGGGGGGGTGGAGCTGGGGAAGTAAGCTTCCGTGCATTGTTGAGGCGGGTGGCATTGTCGAGTTTCCGAATCCAAGCGGCCAGTTTCCGAATAGAACCGTGGAGTTTCCGAGTACAACCGTCGAGTTTCCGAATACAACCGTCGAGTTTCCGAATACAACCGTGACCATAGTATACGGGCCCATGGGTCTTGCTGGGTCAGTGATGTCTCCCACTTGGTGAGATTGGCTCCATGTGCATGTTCAACGAGAACCCCTACGGCGATATTGAGATCCAAGGTCTTTCAAGAAACAAACTCCTCGCCCTAGTTCTTCGGTTCGTGACCGAACTTGATCTCCCTGGTTCTTCAGGTCACCAACAAGGGCTCCAAAAAGGTCACGAACTGAAGAAGCTGGGCTTTGCATGTTGACCTTCCTTAGCTCCTAACGTCCTGCATCCTGGTGCGACTTGGCCTGGTCCCTGATACCAGGTTCAAGCCCCCGAGCATTGGTGTCGATCAAGAGCACTTCATCACCACCCCCACAGCAGGTGGTTTTTGGACACCTCCTTAACCTCTAAGAGGTTATTTGTAGACATTTGGAACAGGTTTGGTCCTGGTAGTGACTGAGCTCGACGCAGCACTCCTGTCCGACCGCCGCGCGCCGTCGCGCCTCGCGTCTCGCGTCTCGCGTGTTGCGTCTCGCGTCTCCCGGCGGAAAGCGACGCGAGAAGTCCAACAGGAGCGGATCGACCAGAATCGCAAGCTGCTGGCGCCTTGGATCTGAGTCCGTACTCTCTCGGCCGGATGAGCCGGACGGACCCGGTGCCGGACCGGGCGGAGCAAAAACCCGGCTTCCGGTGAGCTCGGCAGAAACCGTCGTTTTGGGGCAAAAGTATGCAAAGGTTCCATTTCCATGTTGTGGTCCTCGAGTTTTTGGAGTTCCTTCGTCTGTGAGTGGAAGAGTTCGTCACACCTGCAAACAACCCCCGCTTTGAGTGAAGGGAAACGGAACAGAACCTTTTGCTCCGAACGCACCGGATGATTTCGGACGTCCTAAGATGCTGTGATATGCATGGTGTTTTTTTTCCTATAATCATTTTTAACGGTGTCTTCTTAGCCGAAGCTGAGCCATTGGGAGTTTGAAGCTACACTCCCAAGAACAATGATGGAAGTGGAACATGGCCACTTGGATGAGAATTTTCCTTCTACAAATACCGAGCAAAGAGGTGTTTTTTTCACTTCCATGATTGTTTCAAGGAGTGTATGAAGTGAAGTCAAGTAGACATCGAAGGGAGCGATGGACTTTACAGCATGTCCCAAGGAAGAAAAACCCAAGAATCTGAACCTGTGGAAATGTTTTGGTTCTGGGCTGAAAGGGAACTTGATGACATGGATTGTATCTTTGTTTTTTATTCAATGCCGGGTCAGCAAAGATCACTCTCGTTTTCCCGGCGTTTCTTGTAAAGAACGACGAAGGTCCCAGGTCGGTGGTCCTAGTATGGCTCGTTCCTGTTTCTCGGTTCGTGTCACGATTCCATTTGTCTCAATCTCAGCAGATCCCTTCCGCCAATGGGTCTTCATCTTCTTTGGACGCTGCCCAGGGCGTCCCAAAGTTCTTTCAGACAGATTCGGTTGATGTGTCGATGGCCAGGAAAGAGAGGGTGGTCAAGTCCAGAATGACAAACAGCTGCATGTGAAAGTGTAGTGAGTGACTTGTTTTGGGGAAAACCTACGCAGCAGCTGAACGTCAGAACGACCACTCCTCCAACAGACCATACTCCAAACTCCAAACGAACGGCCGCATCGCATCCACCGGACGATCCACCGCGCCCCCCCCTGTCCCGTGCGTCGAACTCCGGGGTGGCGCCGAGCACGGAGGATTGCGTCTCCATGTTCAAGGGCCTGCCGCCGCGGCAGATCGAGTTGTTGAGCTCGGCCATCGCCGAGCAGACCGTGCGCTCGCGCCGTCGCACTCGTCGCAGACGGGGGGGTGGTCGCGGGGGGGGAGGAGGAGTCGGGAGACTTTGTTGAGGAATGCGGACCATAGGGGTCCATGATGGAGTACCTACCATGTCCCAAAAGCGAGAATGAAACATGTGCAATGTCAATGTACTCGACCTTTTATGTTCTGGTTGTTCTTTTTTTATGGCTTCGGCTTGCCTTTATTTCTACGTCCGTTCAAAACTTTGCAAGAGACTATTGGTTATGATTGTGAAGAGTTGATGGTACGTATATTATGTCTATTGATTGGTCTCCACATTTAAGACCCTCTTACAAAGT